AATACTTTTTCATTATCTAACTGACGGACTAATTATATTTTTAATTTTCATACCCTGTTATCATCCCTATTGTAACATCGAGCACTTCTTAGGCTAACGACTCACGGTGAGATTTACTCTCGCGCCAGCCGCAGTTGCGGTCCCGCAGCCTTTGTAGAACACAGATATACAACATGTAACTTAAATAACGCACATCCTGAAAATAGTTAGTTCAGAATCGTTAACTGAATCGATTTATATAATTTTTAGTATAGGTAATTTTTTATCCCTATAGTAATTAAAACTACGGAAATTATTGTCATGTTAACCCCTGTATTGTTAAAACAAATCGAAATGGACCGTAAGTCAAAGCAATAAGATTTTTAAAATCGCAGTTTTATTTGTATTCATACAAATTCTATCATTCAATACAAAATAAAGAAGAATAAACCTTATGACAAGGCTAGTAAGGATGCACATACATGTTAAATTAAAAATTTAGTGAATGTGTTATGATGATAATAACATAATATTCTAATTGGGGTATTTGAGGGTGTGCGTTAATTACGTTACATGTTGTATATATAGAAATCAAAGCAATATTCACGGCGCATTTCATGTCCGTGGCTCTGCGATCGGTTGGCGGGCGACCGCAATAGGAGGGCCGCTGGTCTAGAACTCAACAGATTGTTTAACCGCTCGTCTTGAGATAATTTAAACGCCAAGTTTGCGGGCGATAATCGCAACCGCGGCGGCTGACGGACCGCAGAAAGCGGTCTCGTGAGTTTTGATAATTCCGCCTCCATTGAGGGCGCGGGAGAAAATCGCGCCGTGTGTCGTTAGCTTTAGTCTTTGTTATACATATGTAAATGAAGCTCTCTGTTCTTCATTTCATTTTGAATTTCCCGCGCATTGGTCTCATACGCTACCTATCTGTGGACAGCAAGCCTGTACTACTCAATGATTGTGTGTGAAATATTTTGGTGAACAGGTTTCACTAATTATTGTTGAAATAATAATACTGAAGCAATAGCTTTTAATGGGGTGGTGTTTAATACTTTAACTGTAAATTCCCTTTTTTCAATCAAAATGTTCGAAATTACTACCAAAATACTGAATTGAACACTAAATTTGCTCATCAAATAAATCAATTTTACTATACTGTTAGACCTTTAAAGCTTAACTGTTTTACTGAATGACTATATTTTAACTAAAAGTAAATCGAATAATTCCTAACCTAACCTATTTTGGAAATTCCGTTGTAATATTGAACAATTTGTGTGCAAATCAGTCAATTTTCGTTTTACGGTGAGTAATATGTAGTTAATTTATAGTACCGTCATTTTTTTGATATGCAGTCGGTTATTAGTGGAGAAATTTGGTTTGCTTAAATGTCTAAATAGAGGTGCAGTACAAAATTGCCCCTTCTAATGTTGTTTCTCTTTTAACATGTTAGTAATTTACTTAATAACAGTCATTTGTATGTTGCTACGGTCCACAGATAGCGTATGAATCCAAAGCGCGGGAAATTCAAATTTAAATTAAGAACAGCGAGCTTCATTTACACATATATCTAAAAACGTTAACATTCTCCATTCAGGCTGACTATAACGTGGCTATTTTAAAAGACTGTAAGACTAATCGCTAGCCGAAAACAAACATATCAATAAACATTCTATATATTAGGGAGGGATGATGATTATAACATATATATTTCCTTCTAACAGATGCTAGCTTTTACCCGTAATTAAAACTATAAGAAACCGTCTGTTTTGAAGTCGATTAATTTACTAATATTTTATCTTAAGTGTAACAAAGACTGCTGAAAACTTTATCGAAATCGGTTCAGTTAATCGCGAGATATTTGTCTATATACATACTTACGTACACTGTTTTAAAAAAATATCGTGAGACATACTAAATTAAATAAAAATCGTGGATTATTCACGTGAACGTACGGAGAAAAGAGTACGTAGGCTGCGAGACACCGCCGCTCATACTCATGAGGAAGAACCACTCTGTGGCTCGATACTAGTAGAACTTTTCTCAGTATGTTCACGTGAGTAACTCGCGATTTTAGTTAACATACATACTTCTATAGTACGCGTTCGGCGCTCTGATTGGCCGGCTCCAGTGAACCAACCAATCAGAGCGCCGAATGCAGTCTCGTTACGATTACTTTAAATTAACGTAAAACAAACTAGGACTAAGGCCTCAGGTCTGGCTAAGAACCTCCTGTTCTGAAGTCGGTCAAAAGTGAATTAAAAATAGGTACCTATACCAATCAATTTGGTACAAGTCAATAGTCGCCATTCCTATGGTTATTGGTAAAAGACTAGACCGTATTCAATTGGCTTAAGAATAGGGTAGTATCCTAAATTTTATCTTAATGTCCGTCTGGTAGATTATTTTAAAACATTAGACACGTATTTTTCTTTTCTCGCAAAATTAAATATCTGCTTTTGACGATATTATGTTTATTTGAAATGTCGGGTGACGTCACGACCTCCCACTCCTAACCTTAACTCCATTTTATCTAAGTTTTGTAACTTTATACGAGAAAATAAAAATACGTGTCTAATATTTTTTCATTATCTAACTGACGGACTAATTAAATTAGCCACTATACAGGGTGACTTGTAACTCGACGTATTCCTCTCGGGAGGTGATAATACATCTAAAGTCTCTGGTCCGTCCGATATTTTGCCAGTATTAGTATTAATAAATGTTTATTGATGTATTGACAACAATTTAAAACTAAAATCACTTAAATCAAACCCAGTAGTTTTTTATTTATTGATGTTTTTATAGTTCGATCGGGATTTTTTCACCAAAACCGAAAATGTTGAATATATCAGTAACTAGCCACTTTCGGACCAGAGACCTCAGGGCTAATTTCGTAAGAAATTAGTTGTACTATCACCTCCCGAGAGGAATACGTCGAGTTACAAGTCACCCTGTACAGTTGTATGTGGTTTTATATTTTGTAAAGGGAGGGGGGTGGGTAAGGACAGTTTTTATTTCAGTATTTTTACACAGAACGAGTGACATTAGCCCTTCAGAATGTATTTGTCCTTCCTGGGCGCTTACTCTTGAAACCAATCTCAATGTCAACGTAATTTCAATCAAATGCAATCTCAATAATTATTCAATGTCAACACTATACAACCCCTATCGTAGCTGTTAAAATAGCATTCAGAGTACGGAATATAAAGCCAAACTCAATACCATTTAGTTTGGGCTTACCACGTAATTGTTTGACGAGGAACTAGACCAGTTTAAAGCCATTAATATACAAGACCATTTAGTTCATTCAATATCCACGCAGTACGGATGCAACGGGCGCTAGTGTTGCAACTCAAAAGTTCGAAACATCTCAATACCATTTCTTAAAAAATTATCTGGAGAAATACTAAAATGAAGTTGGTCATAAAATCAAATAATGAAAGTGAAAGATTTTTTTTATATTTTATTGTACTGAACAGTCGAAATAATTTATTTTTGATGAAGACTAGTACCCAATTGAGTTCAACAATAATAAATACAACCTTAGATCCTTACGTCTAAATACTGAACGGCTACCGAATTTTAAGTCGCGCTTAACTATACTTCTGTCTCTACAAATCCTTTGTATAATGACAGAGACTGCACGATATTTTTAAGTACTACTTCAAATTGAGCAGCCTTTTAGTGTTCGCGCGTTAGTAAGTTATAAGTGAGGGCCAGAAACGCATTTGGAACTCCAAATATGTTGCGGTGTCCATGGGCGGCCCTGTGCCTTGCCAAACGCCACTTGAGCGCTCGTCTACAGAGAGAGTAGAAAACTAAATGTATGGGGATGACACTGGGAAGTGTAAAAATTTATGTTAATTCCATATAATTTGGTTTTCTATTCTACAAGTAGAGAAGCGCTAAGTGGTATTTGGCTACAGCTGCTGGTTGCTTACCATCAGGTGATCCGTCTGCTTGTTTATCCAACTGCCAACTGACCTTTAGGGCTCATTTTCAGGCGAACCTGAAGTCCTAGACAAAGACAAAGGGGTCCAGATGATTTTCGCTTTATTATTAAGTATAGGTACTAAGCGATGGAAACGAAAAACTAGCCATTTATAAGAATTTTCATTTTTGATGAAAGTCCCAAATCTCTTGCACCCCCATGCTACACTCTGACCAAATTGACTGGTTTTATGAATGTATGGGCTTTCTGCCAGCGGTTCCTGTGTGATATAAAGCCTATGTGTTATTCTAGACCATAATCTAGCCCTGTCCCAAATTGTATCCCGATCCCTTCAGCCGTTTCGACGTGGCTGAGTAACAAACGGCCACAAACATTCGCATTACTTATAATATTAGTAAGATTGTAAGACTCACACTCCCTTTCTCATAAAAAGTAAATTAGTATTAAATGTATGTCGCAATGTGTTTGTATGAAACTGTTTAGTTATTTTTTGATGAATGATTATATCGTTATTGTGATTTTTATCTGTGTTTTATTTATTACTAGCGACTCGCCCCGGCTTCGCACTGGTGCAATATGCTTGTATTGTACATATAAACCTTCCTTTTTTATGAGGGGGGGAAATTATACAATGACTTCTAGCCCTGTTCCAAACTTCATCCCGATTCTTTCACCGTTTTGTAACTCACACACATACACAAATACACACACACATACACACTGTGCGCTTCTCTCGTAGCTTTCTGCCTCGCACAGCAAACCTGTGGGATGATCAGTCGTCGGCGGTATTTCCGAACCGATACGACCTTCAAACCTTCAAGAAAAGAGCGTATTCCTTTTTTAAACGCCGGCAACGCACCTGTGTTGTTGCGAGTGTCCATGGGCGGCGCTGATCGCTTACTATCAGGTGATCCGACTGCTCGTTTGCCTCCTATTCCTTAAAAAACACACATCCTCACAAACTTTCGCATTTATAATATTAGTAGGAAGTAGATGAAGAATATAAGAAATGGGCAGGCACTAGTCGCTTTAGAGACACTTTAATTTGAAACCCACAAGACAACATAACATCGACACAAATAAAATTAATTTAAAAACAAAGCTAGGATAAGAGCAATTTCCGCAAGAAACTTGATGATCTGCTAGCGAGGCGCGTGTTTGGCTGGCCGAAGATCCACCGCCCTGCCTCCTTGCGCCGCGATGATAGAAGCTCAATGATTGGTCGGGAGCTCAATGCGTTGCCCATCTGACTCATTGTGGTGTAAGTAGTGCTTGGACGGACCACCTAGAAATATAGGTAAATATAGGCTTTTGATTTAATAACTGCAAGGGATCTCGGGTGAGGCGAAGTATTACAGGGGTTTTTAAAAATTCTCAGTAGTAGCACGGAGTATTGTGCCCGGTATATGGCAATAGGCTCACCCCCTATTACATGGGACTCGTAACATAATTAGTGAAAAGTGGGTGTTACACTGCACAGTGGCATTAAGTGGCGTGAGTGCACCTCTGCCTACCCCTTCGGAGATAAAAGGTTGTTATATTATATTGTCTTTGATTTAAGTATGCACACAGATACAAAAATAATACAAAATTAAAAAGAAAAAGAATAAAATACACATAGGTACATAAATAGGTATAGAAAACACATAAAACAACAAAAATCAAAACATAACTTGTATTTCATCCATTACCTTGTCTGCCTACCCTTTCAGGTTTTAAAAGGTGTGATGTTACATTCCTACATTTTACACTTACCCTCCCAAAGACCACGTTCCGTAGATCAAGCTGCGGCAGCGGTTTGAAGGTGATGTTGAATATGCCACACATTTCGTCGTCCATCGTCACTCGCATGGACAGTAGACCTGTGGTTAGGTTTACCAGTTTACAATATCCAGGTTTTAATATAATTTACTACTTTAGTTTCCACATAAGTCACATAGGATGAAAACCACAAATTCATAGATTCAATATAAAAAAAAAAAAAAAAATAATCGAAAATGTTGAAAAACTGCGTTTCTCTGTGGTTTCTCCTAATTTTCGCATGGTCTCATTCTTTTTGCTAATCATTACATGGAAATCCACAACAAAATTGCGTTTAAATAAACCGACTTCGAAAACCAAAACCTAAAAACAAGCAAAAGGTAAAAACTAAAAAGCGAAAAATAACTATTATTAGTCATACGTACTTATAGGTTACCCACCCACTGATAGGTGAGAAGTCGGTGCCTCAAGTTTTAAGCAAAAGTTATTCTTTAAACCCGTGACTAATACCTTATATTACCTAAGCTGTGTACAATTTTATGACAGACTAGCTTTTGCCTGCGACTTCGTCCGCGTGGAATAGTGACTTCCGGCAGAAAAGTATAGATAGCTGTGCCCGCGACTCCGTCAGCGTGTAACTCTTGTGTATTAAGTTAATGAATGGAGTAACTTCTCCCGTTTTCCCAATATTTCCCTTCACTGCTCTGCTCCTATTGATCGTAGCATAATGAAAAGTATACTATAACCTGCCCAAGAGTATAAAGAATAATTGTGCCAAATTTCGTTAAAATCCGTCGAGTAGTTTTTGTTTCCATAACGAACATACAGACAGACAGACAGACAGACAAAAATTTTTCTGATTGCATTTTTGGCATTAGTAGCGATCCCTAACCACCCCTTGATAGTTATTTTTTAAATATATTTTATGTACAGAATTGACCTCTCTACAGATTTATTATAAGTATAGAAGATAGAAGATTATAACCATGACCATTAACTTAAGATATATTTTGTTTACTATATTGACATCCACAGCTGGACAAAAGCCTCCCCCTTAGTCCTCCATGTCGAACGACAACTCGCCACCTGTATCCACTGGCTCCCCGCAACTCTGGTTACGATAGGTTCCTTAACTTGGTTTAAATACTAGGGTTTTTTGAGAGGCGGAATCATCAAATGACTTCTCCCGCCCTAGGTGAGGTGGGACGGAGTGTCAGACTCTTACTGACTAAAAACTACCCCGTTCCTACTCCTGTACTTCGAGCCGGAGCCCCGGTAACCCGTTAGGTTCTCCGCGGCATGGTTTAATAACACTAGAGGTTTTTTTGAGAGGGGGAATCATGCAATGACTTCTCCCGCCCTGGGTGAGGCGAGAAGGAGCGTTTTCTCTTACTGACTAAAAACCACCCCGTTCCTAGTCCTGCTTCTAGCCAGACTCCAGGTAACCCTTGCGATTCTTCGCACTTCGCAGTAGTGCCATGTATCATTTTTGGAGAGAGCATCACTAAGCAGCAAAGAGCCATACTTATAGAAATGTTTTAGAAAGATTACCAGCCATAGAATGTGGAAAGTGATAGTTCTCAGCGCCGATGGGTATGACGCGGCCACGCTGCGCGTAGCAGCCGAAACCGTTGTTGTATATCACATCGCCGCCACTCCAGTACAGCTTGGGGACTTTTCTAAAATAGAAATTATGGTGGTGACTTGATCATTATCATACTTCATCATAAATAGCATTTGATAGTTCTCTTCTGGACCTTGAGTCTTCTTTACATACCTATTAGAGAAGGGTTTGCCAAAATGTCCAAGCTTGGTAAGCAGGATAGCATACATAATTAATGTTAAAGTGGATCAAAGACCAAGAGCCAAATGTTGAATTCTTTAATCTGCCCTTACTTCACCCGCGCGAAGAGGAAGATTGGTGAAAAATGTACTCTGCTATCACTATGCTCTAAAGAATAATAAACGAGAAGAAAACACAGCGAAAGAATATTTAAAAAATAAAATTTAATAGAAAAACTGTCAGTTAAACCATTCAAAAAAAGTAATCAGTTCCTCTGTCTCGATGTTGACGGCCCATTGGTATTCTCGCGCCGTTCTTCAGAAAACTGGTTGACAGCCAGGCAGTACTTCTCTGAGTGATAAGTCCTCGATATCTGAGAGAGTAATGGACTCCCGTGAGGAGAATTCAGCCAGAGAGAAGCACTCCCTGTCTGCCCAACCATTGCTATGAAAGCAATGAGCATTCTAGTATTCAGAAGCCCGCGTTGTATATGTGGCTGTTTCAATAAAGTCTGCAGGATCAACCCATCAGGTAGACCATTTACTAGCTCAAAAATACTTGAACCGCGCTCTCCGATTAAGTAAGAAGCTGCCGCGGGAACGTTGCAACCAGTATATCTCAGCGCTTTATCAGAATCCTCGTAAGAAAATCCAAGGTCTTTGAGAGCGGTGATTGCCTCAGGATTCGGTGGGTCAGCGATTTTATTGCGCCATTCGCGGAACTTCTCCAGGAATCGTTGCAAGTGTTCCGCGCGGCGATACATGTCGTTCCCGTCTTCTTTGGTTGATTTTGGAGGGTCTTCAAGTACAGATTGTATGTCAGCATTCAAGTTCAGTCGCGCGGCAATCTCTTCAGGAGTTATGACCTGGATTACAGCTGGTTGAGCTTGTCGCGGTTCCTCCAAAGCCGCGGTAAGCTGTGCGAGCGTCATTTCGTAGTTTCTTCCAGACGCAGCCAGTCTGGCTCCAGCTTCGATCAATGATATTAATATTTTCCGCAACTCATGGGACAATTCGTTGGTTGATAGTAAAGATTGAAGATTTGGTTGGCGCATGGCGTTCGTGGGAGTGGGTAGAGATGCTGTAGCTGCGGCAATAGTGCCGTGCTGGGGAGCTCTGACAGTGCCGAGGTCCCAGAGCGTTCCAGCTTCTGGCAGCCGTCTCTCAACGAGGAGCAGTTCCTCCTGCATCATGACAGATTCTTGAGATAACGTCAAAAAGTCGTGTAAAGTCGACGTGTCTAATACCCTGACAATTTTGTACCGACTGGCCCCCGTCTCCCCAGTCGGGTAGAAAAAATCTATCGCCCTATTCTTCACCTCCTCGATGAGAGTGTCCTCGGAGAAGTAAGCCGTGAACGTCTGACCTTCTGGACTGACGACTTTGATGAAGATCTCATTGCCCCCGGTCACGCCAGTGTCGGAGACCAACATTTCAATGCGTGGCTTTGAATTCCTCTACTACCTGTGAGAAATCTATCAGCTTCATAGAAATCAGTAGCAGACACAGGATTATACTACTGAAAAACGTTGCGAGACATAAAATAAGTTTGAGCATAATTTCGTCATATTTTCAGAGGTCTAATAAATTTGACGTTCGCGGAAAGTCATTTTTTCGTTTTATTTTTTTGTGCGTATTGAAAAATGTGTTTATGGATTCTGAAAAGAGGTTAAATACTTATGATTAATTTATAAATTACTAGCTGTTCCCCGCGCCTTCGTCCGCGTGTAATAATGACTTCTGAAGTATAATATACCGCGTATGATAATGACGAGTGACACCATGGGCAGAAGCTAGTAACATTAAGGGAAAATGATTCATCTTTTATAATATTATGTTTTCGTCGAGTTTTTATTATTTTTACGATGTATTCTGCTATTTCGGTCGGGGACAAATCCAACGAACCAGAAACCATGAAATTTGGTCAAGCCAATCTCGAGTTATAAGTGTTGGAACAAACACGTCTTTCTTTTATGTATACATAAGATAGAAGATAGATTGAAAATTTCTTGTGTAAATGTGGTTGTACGAGCTACGCTGTACATTGACTTTGTCGTCATACGCGCGAATAATTAAATCATCGTAATCAGCATTTCGGAACATTGTAAACTACATAATTAATTTAATTCAGTAGCAATAAAACTATCTAAGAGAAAAAAAAAAAAAAAAAAAAAAACAAATGTAGGGGTTGTAACTCTGTAAAACAAATGTAGGGAGTTACAACCCCTACAGTGGTGATGCACTTGATTACCTGTAGAAGCAGGTGTTGATATACCCATGCCCGAGCGTGTCTCCATCGAGCAGTTCCAGGAAGAGATGACATGTCCTAGGACACGTGTCAGTGAAGAGCTCCAGGCATAGTTCCCCGATAACAGCGCCCTCTTTTATGCCCAACTTTATGTATACTCTGTGAATAATTATATGAATTTATGGTCCCGATAAAGGTAGCAGAAAGTCGCTACGGTCGCTTTCATGGCTATAGAAGTCGGTGCGGTAGGCCTTTGCATATTTTCCTAGGCCTTTAGCAGTGGAGTTTTTTCTGACTGATGTATGGTTTACATACAGGCATTTATTTTGCTAACGTCGGATTTTTTTTAAGGGGGGGAAAATCATCGAATGACTGCTCCCACCCGGGTGAGGCGGGAGGGAGTGTCAGACTCTTACTGACTAAAAACCACCCCGTCCCTTCTCCTTCACTTCCAGCCGGAGCCCCGGTAACCCGTTAGGTTCTCCGCGACAAGGATATAAGGATAGGGCCTCCCTATACTCCTTCTCTCATTATAATATATCCTTCTCTCATTATAATTATATCCTAGTCTCATTACTAGTATCTGGATGACTGAGCTTAGCTGGGCGTTAGTAAATAAACGACATTTTCTGAAAATTGAATCTAGCTAGATTATCGTGAGACGCGCGTGCCCAACCACCATTGCAAACATTAGGGGCGCCTATGAGGTTGCCTAGGGCGCTTTCAAGATACGACTCCGCCTCTGGTCTGGGCATTGGGTACTTTCCTTAATCACTACATAGTATAAAACAAAGTCGTTATCCGCCGTCTGTCTGTCCCTAGGTATGCTTAGATCTTTACAACTACGCATAGATAGAGTGATTCTCAATGAAGGTTTATATGTATAATACATGCATATTGCACCCGCGTGAGGCCGGGGCTGGACGCTAGTACAAAATAAATAATAGTCTGTCAGTCTGTCCGTCAGTGAAGCTAGGCGCTCGTTCCAAAATGTAGATTCGAATGGAAAAGAACGAGCAACAAACTCCATAGGTTACTCTTTTCCTATCGGGTTCACAATACAATTCTTCAGTTATACAGTTTTATTGGTTCGATTGTGCGAGAACAATGTAACACTAAAATCCAGTCAAAGAGATTGAAAAAGAAAATAACCTAAAAGACGGTAAATTATGCAGCCTGGAGCTGACCAGTCCCAGTTGACGGCGCCCGTTTACGAACATGACACGTACACCAGCACCGCCCAACTCAACCATTTTGTAGGGAATTGAGCGATCCAATGCACGCGCCACTGCCAATGAGATCTTTGAGTGAGAAGCGAGCTCCAAGCTGCTAGACAACTCCAAGCTAGTAGTCGACTTCGAGTTCCCAGTCAAACAGTTACGTGAATAAGTCGAAAACATATTTTTTTTTATGGGATAAGCCGGTACGCGAGCCTACGGATCACCTGATGGTAAGCAATCGGCGCCCATGGATACCTGGAACACCAGAGGCGTTACAAGTGCGTTACCGGCCTTTTGGAGATTAGGAGTTTGAGGATCATTGGGGATTCAGGAATTGGGAGATTGGGGAAGGGGAGGATAATTGGGCCTCCGGTAACCTCACTCACACGACGAAACACAACGCAAGCGTTGCTTCACGTCGGTTTTCTGTGAGGCCGTGGTCACTCCGGTCGAGCCGGCCCATTCGTGCCGAAGCATTGCTCTCCCACACATAATTAATGTTGACTCGCAAACTCACCTGGGTCTCTTAACATTGGGAGGTGCCACAAAGGCAAGGTCCTCGATCTCCTCACATGGGATCGGTGGGAACAGCACGAAGGTACCCAGCGCCTGCTCCACTATCTTGCGTCTGTTCCTCGCCCACGCGCGGTTCAATTCTGCTGTCGTTTCTACTCTTGCATCCTAAAGGATCAAGGATAGAGAGATAATGATGATGTTTTAAATAAAAACCCTATAATCAAATTGATTTATCACTTTGGTAGAACATAACGTCACGCCTTTTATCCCCGAAAAGGTAGGCAGAGGTGCACATTACGATACCTAATGCCACTGTACAATGTAACACCCACTTTTCACTATTTGTGTTATGAGTCCCATGTAATATGGGGTGAGCTTATTGCCATATATCGGGCACAATTCCAGGCTCCGTACTACTACTGATATTTTAGGGAAAAAGCCCAGAAATACTTTGCCCGACCCGGGAATCAAACCCGAGACCCGAGGCAGCAGTGTAAATATTTTAGTTTTTAGTTATATTTATTTAATTTAAATTCTTATCAATACGATATACTAAGGAGTAACATAACCTACTTTTATATTAGAATACTAGCTACTTCCGCGCGGTTTTACACGCTCTGCTCAGCTCCTATTGGTCATAGATTGATGTTTTAAAGCCTATAGCCATCCTCGATAAATGCGCTATCCAACACAAAAAGAATTAACTAAATCAGACTTGTAGTTACGGAGATTAGCGCGTTCAAACAAACAAAAAAAAACTCTTCCGCTTTATATAATAAGTATAAGATTAAAACAAAAAATAGTGGTAATACATAAAAATGTACTAACTTATGGACTACATTTTTTCATTAAAAGAAAAACTGACTTACCGAGGTCAAAATCCTTTCATAGAGGATCAAATTTTCCCTTCTTGTCCTCTTTAAGAAATCGACTCTGTGTTGATAGTACTGCATCGGACGAAGTGGTTCATAGTCCCAGTGGCTGTCCACTCGGCCCTAGAATCGTATCTACGTTGGGAAATTGACCCTTATTGCTTTTAGAAGAGGACGATCTTTTAACCACATAACATAATATAACATCACGCCTTTTATCCCCAAAGGGGTAGGCAGAGGTACACATTATGGCACTTAGAGCCACTGTACAATGTAACACCCACTTTTGACTATTTATGTTATGAGCCCCATGTAATATGGGGTTAGCCTATTGCCATATACCGGGCCAATTCCAGACTCCGTGCTACTACTGAGAATTTTTAAAAACCCCGTAATACTTTGTTCGACCCGGGAATCGAACCCGAGACCCCTTGCCCGGCAGTCGCACTTGCGACCACTCGGCCAACGAGGCAGTCGGTCTTTTAACCGACTTCAAAAAAGGAGGTTTTCTTTTAGACCTGGTATGTACACACGGCCACACATCAAACTATACAAAACCAGTTTATCCTGGTGTCTCGTCGCATCATCTTTCGCACATTTAACGTTCAGTTTATACTGGTTATGTAAAGCTCGATGTGTTGCCATATGTATGTATTAATGTATATATGTATGTGTACGATTATCTCGCCATTGACTAAACGGATTTTGATGCGGTCCGATTAGGGTTTGTTACAATTAGGACACGGTTTTCGTATATTAATTAAACGACTTCAAACAGAGAGGGGGTTGAAGTCGGTTTTTTAAACGTAGTGTAAAATAATGTACATAATAAAATCACCTGATCACCTGATTATAAGTAATTGGGTTAGGTAAGTAAGCAGGTGATCTGCTTGTTTGCCCTCTATTCTACAAAAAAGTATTAAATTTGGCAGCAGACATCTTGTAACTTGTGAATTTGTGTTGATAATGGTCACTTCATTACATAGTATAAAACAAAGTCGCTATCCGCCGTCTGTCTGTCCCTATGTATGCTTAGATCTTTAAAACTACGCAAAGGATTTTGATGCGGTTTTTTTTACTAGATAGAGTGATTGTTAAGGAATTTTTATAGGTATAATACACGCATTCCGAAGCCTGGGCGGGTCGCTAGTCCTTACTAATATTATAAATCGGAAAGTGAGTTTGTTTGTTTGTTCCGCTTTCACGCCGTAACTACTAAACCGATTGCTTTGAACTTTTGCAGACGTAAAGTTAGAAGTCTGGATTAAATAATAGGGTACTTTTTATCCCGGAAAAATTTGATATTCTCGAGGAAAAACGAAACCATTGGTATTGATGGCGCTGTGTGTATAAGTCACATAGGCTACTTTTTATCCTTTTGTGACGCGAGCGAAGCCGCGGGTAAAAGCTAATAATATATAAACTACTGCAACATATCTTCCGTGCAAGATATCGAGAGTTCGATTCCCTAACGGTTTTCTAAGCGGCCTCCTGCTAGGAGCACCGACGGCATCGCTAGAGTTGCGGCGAGTTTTCGTTCGACGTAGAGAGGCCTAAGGGGGAGGCCGTTGTTCAGCTGTTGATCATGATGATGACAACGGTTTTCTTTGTGTGACCTACAAACTAATGTTCAGTGTCTGGGTCGGAGCCGTATTATCCCTAAGGCAAATTAGGCAAGTCCCTAGGACGACAGGTTACAGAGGGCCGCCATGACACGCGCCTGCCCAACCGCCATTGCAAACATTAGCAGCGCCTATGAGGGTTGCCTAGGGCGCTCTCAAGATACGACTCCGCCTCTGGTCTGGGCATTGGGTACCTACTTTCCTTAATAAAAAATAAATAACTTTGACTGTTCAGTACAATAAAATATTTAAAAGTAATCAGTTAATTACACTTTCATTAATTGATTTTGTGACCAACTTAATTTTAGTATTGTTCCAGCAAATTTTTAAGAAATAAGTATGTTGTTTGCCGTTAAAAAAAAACGTGACGTCACAATACACAATCTCGTACAAAATTCATAGAAAACTGTCGTTTTTGACAGTTCGAAAAACGTAATGAATTTGACTAGTTGGCAAGTACCTAATTGTCTGTTTGTAATTGTAAATGCTCACAACATAGGAGAATATCTTACTGTTTAAAAATAGATAAAAACTCACCCCCATAAAATAAGTTTTCTTAATCAACATCATGAGATACAAATTTTCCAATCGCAGCCTGTCCAGTCGTCGGCGCCAATTCTGCAAGTTGCGTAGTTTCGCCACGGCGTTGTACCGAGGCGGTGACGAATCAACGCGAGCTTTTACGAATGCGTACTGAAATTATAGACAAATATTAATTACTTTACACTCGCGCTGTTTTAATCGCTTTATTTTGTCCAACATAAAATAATTATTTCAATTCAAGCCAGTACTTTTGGATTAGTGTGTTCAAACTGTGGAATGATCAGTCGTCGGCGGTATTTTCGAACCGATACGACCTTCAAACCTTCAAGAAAAGAGCGAATTAATTTTAAAAGGCCGGCAACGCCCTGTGGCTCCTCTGGTGTTGCGGGTGTCTGGCGACGCTGATCGCTATTACCATCAGGTGATCCGTCTGCTCGTTTGCCTCTTATAAAACAAACCATCTCTTAAGCTTTAAATATTAAAGTCATCATCATCATCAACAGCCGAAAGACGTCCACTCCTGGACAAAGGCATTCCTCTTAGTCCTCCACGTCGAACGACAACTCGCCACCTGCATCCACTGGCTCCCCGCAACTCTAGCGATGTCGTCGGTCCACCTAGCAGGAGGCCTGCCTACGCTTCGTCTTAAGTCCGTGGTCTCCACTCAAGGACTTTCCTGGCCCATGTGCCGTCAGTCCGTCGAGCGACGTGGCTATGCTCGGGATTTCATTACGCGATAAAATCCGAAATATGGAAATTCGCCAAACAACTAGAGTTACCGACGTAGCTCGCAAAATCTGCAGACTCAAGTGGCAATGTGAGGATGGTAAATCATCGAATGACGCTTGCTACATTGATGTTAGCCGCGGAGAACTTTACCCTTAGTGCGCCACGTCAGGCACCAAAGCCTGACATTAGTGAAGGTTTGACTTTCACCATTTTAAACTTGGCAGTTAAAGTGTTAACGGGTTACCGGGGCTCCGGTTCGAAGTGCAGAAGTAAGAATGGGGTATTTTTTAGTCAGTAAGAGTCTGACCCTCCCGCCCGCCGGCAACCGGCTGTCCCTGTAACGCAGCAGGTTCGATTTCCGCACGGAGCACATCTTTGTGTGATCCACAAATTGTTGTTTTGGGTCTGGATGTCATTTGTAATTGTATATTTGTAAACGCACTCACTATCACGATACAGGAGAAAATTTTAGTGTGTTAGGAAATAAAAAAAATAAAACATACATAGCCTGTCTCCCATGGGGGTAGGAATCTCTGCCTATTGTGTCCTATGGAACGCCAATTGCTACGATTCTTACATACTTCTTTCGTTTCATCAACAGTCATCAATATTTAATGCATGCATGCTCGTCGGTTAAGGGCACTTTTAATTTGGCCCTTCTTTAATATATCCCCGATCTGGTGGATTACTCTTGAATCCAATTCCGATCGATCGACATTGGTATTGTGAAATTTCGTACTCTTGAGTCACAAAATTAGCGCCCATTGCATCCGTATTGCGTGGATATTGAATGAACTAAATGGTATCGAGTTTGGCTTTATATTCCGTACTCTGAGTGCTATTTTAACAGCTACGATTATGGTTGTATAGCGTTGACATTGAATAATTATTAAGATTTTATTGGATTGAAATTGCATTGACATTGAGATTGGTTTCAAGAGTAAGCACCCCGGTCGATATATTATGTTTGTCTAGCGCGCCCTCTACCGATGGTCCCATTCAACGCTCTGTATACTTCTTTCGTAAATCTTACCTTATAGGGTATTATCTTCTTAACAGGTTTTATACCGATATCAGAAGTACTGGTTTCTGGTGGAGGGGAGGTGCATTTGCCCCGTTTTTTAGTATTCGCTTTCAAAATGGCATCTATTAATGTCATACTTGGCTAATTTTGTAATTAAAATGTTAAAAATATTATAAATTGATTGTTTGTGGAAAGACGTAGTATTTCGAAAATCTATTTGGTCTGTTGTCAATTATATCATATGACAAAAATTTAAAAAGTATTTTAATATAAGTATAACTGCTTTATTGATCCAGTGTTTGCAAGTACGACTGTTTTGTCCTCATCATCAACAGCCTATAATGCCCACTGCTGAGCAAAGACCTCTTCTCACGCGGAGAAGGTTTGAACATTAACCACCACGCTTGCTCAATGCGGGTTGGTGATTACAAACTTATAATTAGAAATTATAAGTAAGCCCAGGTTTCCTCACGATATTTTCCTTCACTGTCTATCAGCGGTGTCTAGATCTTAGAAAGTACTTAACTCGGAAAAAGTCACATTGGTACTTGCCGTTGGTAGGTTTCGAACCCGCAGCCTCATGCATGAGAAGAGGGAGTCTTAAACCTCCGGGCCACCAGAACCCAATACAAGAAGCACCTCATAGACGCTCGTTATAATTATTTATTGTCTCCGTCGCCACTATATAACGCCCTAGGCATTTGCCTTGTTTACGACTCTGGGCGCTCACTCTTGAATCCAACCCCGATCGATCGACATTGGTATTGTGAAATTTCGTACTCTTGAGTTACAACACTAGCGCCCATTGCATTCGTATTGCGTGGATATTGAATGAACTAAATAGTATCGAGTTTAGCTTTATATTCCGTACTCTGAATGCTACTTTAACAACTACGATTGTGGTTGTATAGTTTTGACATTGGATAATTATTGAGATTTTATTGGATTGAAATTGCATTGACATTGAGATTGGTTACAAGAGCACCCTGGTCCTAAGATAATTGAAAGTTGATGTTACATTGTGTACCTATGAATGTGCACGTCTGTCGTTTCTTTGTTTTTTTAGCTTTCATAATTGTTCTGTATTATCTATATGACTAATTTGACTTATAGTCTCTGCCTGCCTGCCTCGTTGGCCGAGTGGTCGCAAGTGCGACTGCCAGGCAAGGGGTATCGGGTTCGATTCCCGGGTCGGGCAAAGTATTACTGGGTTTTTAAAAAAAAATTCAGTAGTAGCACGGAGTCTGGAATTGTGCCCGGTATATGGCAATAGGCTCACCCCCTATTACATGGGACTCATAACATAAATAGTAAAAAGAGGGTGTTACATTGTACAGTGACATAATGTGCACAACTGCCTACCCCTTCGGGAATAATAGGCGTGATTTGTTAAAATTAATGTATGTGTTTTTTTTTATGGAATAGGAGGCAAACGAGCAGACGGATCACCTGATGGTAAGCGATCAGCGCCACCCATGGACACTCGCAACACCAGAAGAGTCACAGGTACGTTGCCGGACTTTTAAAAAGGAATACGCTCTTTTCTTGAAGGTTTGAAGGTGGTATCGGTTCGGAAATACCGCCGACGACTGATCATTCCACAGTTTTGCTGTGCGAGGCAGAAAGCTACGAGAGAAGCACACAGTTGTGGCCTGCCAACTATCTATATGATGATGGATAGGATGCATATGCTGTCGTGAGGGTCGATGGCGGAAAGATGCGGCAGGTATCTGTGTGCGTGCCTACTGTCAAATAAATGCTCTTTCTTTCTTTCACCTCTATCTACCCCCTTAGGGAAGGATGTGACGTTAAAAAAACACATCATTAGGAATCAATTGTAGGTACTTACTTGTCCGAAATAAAACATCGGTATCGTGTAAAAGACATTTATTGAGAATAAACTAAAAATATTGCACAATGCACAAACGACCTTATTACAATTACATAGCGTCTACATTTGTGCCTATACATAATACTGCGTACATAAGCGTTATATATTTAGACATCACTGGAATGTGACTAGTTCAGTATAACAAACATTCACACGCGTATTTTTGCTCAGTAGATGGCGCTAGTGTAGCTTGTCTCCTCATCCAATAGGGAATTAGTTAATCTGGTAATTGGGTACTTTCCTTAATAAAAAATAAATTATTTCAACTGTTCAACACAATAAAATACAGAAAAATAATCACACTTTCATTAATTGATTTTATGACCAACTTAATTTTAGTATTTTTTCAGCATTTTTATAAGAAATAAGTATGCTGTTTGACTCTATAAGAACGTGACGTCACAATAGACAAACTCGTACAAAGTTCATAGAAAACTATCGTTTTTTACAGTTCAAAAATTTTACTAGTTGGCAAGTATACAATTGCTGCACTATTCGCGCAGTGGCTGGGCAACTGGCTGCCGCGCAAGGTGCCACTGATTCGATCGCCAGACGGAACTACACTTTGTGTGATCCACAGATTGTTCCAGGTCAGGGTGTGATGTGTATGTGAACTTGTATGTTTGTAAACGTACACACGACACAGGAGAAAATCCTAGTGTGAGGGCAACGTTTTAAAAAAAAAGAACATTGGACATTAATATTGGAATTATAAAATTAATATATATGTCGGAGAAAATGCACCAATTGGGGGTACTTCGTCATCGGATTCTTCGTAAACGCGGTAAGTTCGGTACAGGCTGGCAGAACAACCGCTCACTCTCGGGTCCAACTCAAAAGTGACGCCTTTCAAAATGCCAACATGCCACGCCCCGTACCGACCATCACCCAAGCACACTGCTTGACGTTTCCGACAAATGATAACAAATGGCGTTGTTCTAAAATAACGATACTCGGTAGTTGTGCATCTTTGTTGATTCTGCGACATATATATATTTGACAGCTGCCTATGATTAGACAAAAGCCCCTAGCTACATTTGCGCCATGGTGTGAGCAAAAAAACGTTAACCTCTATTTGGTAGTTTCCGCAGTCGCAATTAAAGCCCGCGTTAGGCGCTGGTTGGCCGGCTCCAATTAACTAACCAATCACAGCTTCGAACGCGGTCTCGATTCGAGTATTATAAACATAAATCAAAACCGTACTAAGCACTCAGAGGCTTTAATACGAGTTTAATTTAAGTTTAAAGTAATGGTAACAAGTACGCGTTCGGCGCTCTGATTGGCCGGCGGCAATATACCAACCAATTAGAGGCATTAGTACGAGTTTCATTTACGTTTAAAGTATTCGTAACGAGTACACGTTCAGAGGGCCAAGCACGAATAACTATCGCATTCGTATCGTAACAGTATCGAGCGAGTTGAGCGTTCTGATTGGTTGGTCCACTTGAGCCGGCCAATCAGAGCGCCGAACGCTTACTCGTTACGATTACTTTACGCGTAAAACAAACTCGTACTAAGGCTTCAGAGCGCCGAACGTGTACTCGTTTCGATCGTACTGGTCGGAAACTACCTTCTTCAAATATTAAATTAAGAATACAACATAATTTTAGCTGCCAAAATTAATAATACTAATAAAAAATATTAATTTAAGGAAATTCATTGTAAAAACATAATTTTTTATCACAATTGAGTACGTAGGTACGTATTAAAAAATTATAAAATTATGCTAACAGCAGTTAAATTAAAAAAAGTAATATCTAATACATATCAGTTTCAAAAGAATAAAAATCAAATCACAAACATTCTAAAAATCGCGGGTGACTCACTATACCGTAATATACATAATTATGGTATATGAATACACCGTGCGCTCCAACATCGTCCGACGCCGCCGCCGGAGTTGAAAGCAAACGCTCGTGGTGTCCGGCAGAGGGCGCGTTATACTCGCAGCGCAAGTACCAACACCGAGGCGAGCGCCAACACCAGCCAGTAGGCTGCGCGACATCTGCTCATGAGGAAGAACCCCTCTGTGGTTCGAAAGTAGTAGAGCTTTTTTTTTAACCCGCGATTTTTAGTTTTTTTTTATGTAATAGATGGGCCGACGTTTGACCACTATCTAGCCTAGTGGTAACCGATGATGCGGTCTACGATGGAGCACGTCGTCTCATAAGCAACCTATTCACTCGGGCCTTGAAGACACCCAGGTTATATATACCCTTCAGGAAATACAGATTCTGGCAAATAATGCCGTTAATAGAAGCTTGTGTATTAATGATAATTTCTTTAACCCATTATAGACCTTATTTCCAATGTTTAGAGACTACTTTTGTATGAACAAATTTACGGATGATTTTTAACGGATTAACTGTTTTAATTTTGAATTGAGCTATAGTGTTTTCTACAGTTTTAAAATACTGATAAACGCCAACAAACAAATAAAAACTTAGTGCATATAATTGGGTACTTTCCTCAATCAAAAATAAATTATTTCGACTGTTCAATACAATAAACATGTAAAAAAACAATCACACTCTCATTAATTGATTTTATGACCAACTTCATTTTAGTATTTTTCCAGCAAATTTTTAAGAAACAAGTACTATGCTGTTTGACGCTATAAAATCGTGACGTCACAATACACAATCTCGTACAAAATTCATAGAAAACTGTCGTTTTTACAGTTCGAAAATTTGACTAGTTGGCAAGCACCCAATTCTACCTAAGTAAGCCTAGGTTACATATTTTCTCAATTTTTATAATATTTTTTTGCTTTTTAGTTTTTCAACTCGCAATATTACTATAATGCAAAAAATCTTAGTAAGTAGTTATTACAATACTACTTTAATGATGCTATTAAAAAAAGTGCATCCTCGAATCAAAACGAGTCGTGCGAAACAAACTGAAGGTACACTTATCAAGCACGGCTCCAACTCCGCAAGTAACTTGTCATTTAAATATGAACTTTAAATCGTATGTCATCGGATCCAGTATAACAATGCGTTCAGGGCACTGTTGCGGCTTCCACGTCTCTGTAGTGCATCAGCAATGTTTGCTAATGCTCCCGCTGATGGATTCGCTGCTTTATGGCGCAAAAAGACTGCATGGCTCATCAGTCGCCTGCGTGGAAGTCGCCACAGTATCCTGACTGCTACAGCCGGTAGACATGACTGTCCATTGATGTGGAAATTAGTGCAGCGGACTAAGTCTCTGTTTACTATTGCTTATTAATATTGTATCTAAATAGTTATGTAAGATTGTGTTCTTCCTTTACTATTAGATTGATGGATCTCAGTTATCTGAATAAATAAATATATTATTATCATATTATTCGACATATTTCATAACGTCAATATAAGAAGCTGTAAGCACGCCGCCCGTGCGCCGATGCCGCGCTAACATTATTTTTGTATTGCTTCGAAAACAAAAAGGGGCGCGCCGGAGCCGTGGTTGAACCGTGCGTGTTAGGCAAACGACCTTAAGTCGTATTTGTGACTAAACTAAAGCAAGATATTGAGAGATCATAAAAAATAATCACGAATATTCTATTGTTAACACGTCAACCATGTTAACAGTGCATAGGATGTTAATGTTTCATCAATAACATATCTACTGCCTCTGCCGCAGTGCAGTGTGAGGTCGTGGCACGGCGGACGTGTGAGGTCGGGCCAGGCGCGTGCCGGGCCGACTGCTCACGGCGCCGTACGACAGGTAGCGGTCTGATAGGTCCGGGGGCTCAATCTGGAAATAATAAAGGCCTTTATTGAACTCTTTTCAAGCAAGAAATACTACCCAACAATAGAGCCTTCTTTGTGTTCTTATTGTTGTGTATCTAGTTCTTTCATTCTCATCTATCTAATACCATTATGTTTCATTAGTTTCTGCCAGCAGTTTCGTCCGCGTTATCAGAATAAAAAATAGCAAACAGTTTTTAGGTGCGGAAGAGTCATGCTTCGGCACGAACGGTCCAGCTCGACCGGAGTGATACCACGGCCGAGCAGAAAACCGACGCGTCGTCAAAGACACTCGTCACGTCGTGTGAGTGAGGTTATCGGAGGCACAAATCCCCCCCTCCCCTCCCCAATCGCCCCAATCCTTGAATCCCCAACAATCTTCGAATTTCTAATCCCCAAAAGGCCGGTAACGCACTTGTCACGCACCCCGGAACACGCATCTGGTGTTCCAGGTGTCCATGGGCGATGCCGATTGCTTACCATCAGGTGATCAGACTGCTCGTTTATCGGCTTATCCGGTAAATTAAATCTATGACCGTTTAGGAACGTAACATACAAATATTGAAAATGAAAACAGGTATTGCGTGGATTGAATTGACAGGCATTGAATGAATAACTATAGTCAGAATTTTAATTAGATTCCAGATTTGACAATAGCTACTGTCATTTTGTGAAATAATGATACCACATATAATAGTGTAGTGATGAACACAAAAATCGATAAACAATCAGTGTGTGTTTTATAATAATGTTACACAAAGTGACAAGATAGCTATAGCGATGACGGCGACAATTTATAAAATAACTTATTACCATAATACATCTATCTGTTTTATTTGCCATGTTCCTTCATGATTACATTTTTTTATTTATTTCACACACAAATTATATAAGAAAAGTCTCAGATCGTTAATTATTCGTCTAAACTAAATTATCGGTTCAGAAAATTTAATTTCCTGATATACTAGTTTACAAGAGTAAAATTATAAACGAGAAGAATCGATCCGGAAATATTGCATTTCCATATCGAATAATTTCGCAACGTCACTATTTAGTACTTGTCATAACGTTGCAACACTGAAATTGTCAAATCTGGAATCGAATTAAAATTCCGAGTATAATTGGTATTGAGTTTGGCTTTATATTCCGTACTCTGAATGCTATTTCAACAGCTACGATAGGGGTTGTATAGTGTTGACATTGAATAATTATTGTTCAAGAGTATATGAGATACGTACATGTTTCGAGTGCGCATGCGTGGCGGAGTGATGCGGCGCGCTCATGTTGTTCCCGGTGTACGCGACGCACTTCACCTGCCACTCGCCCAACTGCTCGTTCCAGTGCACGTACTGGTCTATCAGCGCCTGTAGACAACAATAAATATAATGGATATAATAATACCTCTTCTCACACTGAGAAGGTTTGAGCATTAATCACCACGCTTGCTCAATGCGGGTTGGCGATTACTAACTTATAATTATAAATTATAAGTCCCGGTTTCCTCCCGATGTTTTCCTTCATCGTTTGTCAATGGTGTCTGAATAATCTTAGAAAGTACATATAACTCGGAAGAAGTCACATTGGTACTTGCCGTTGATAGGTTTCGAACCCGCACCCTCATGCATAAGAAGCGAGCGTCTTAAACCTCCGGGCCACCACGACATTTTTATTACTGGGTTTTAAAACAATTCTCAGTCGTAGCACGGAGTCTGAAATTGTGCCCGGTATATGGCAATAGGCTCACTCTATTACATGGGACTCATAACATAAATAGTGAAAAGCGGGTGTTACATTGTACAGTGGCATAATGTGCACCTCTGCCTGCCCCTTCGGAGATAAAAGGCGTGATGTTGTTATGTTTATGTTTTGACTTTATTAACTGCCTTTACAATTCAAATTTATTCTTTCTACAAGTCATACATACCTGATACTCCTTAGGAATATAAGAATCCAATACAAGATCAGCGAGTTGTATTTCCCTCTTCAGTGCCCTCACACTGTCCAGTATGCCCTCCATCTCCCTCTGTTGCTCCCTCTGCTGGTCAGCCAGCTCGGCCTTCGCAGAGTTCAGGAGTTGCACCGCTCGCTTCAACTTGCGAGTCTTCGCTGCATTCTCCTCTTGAAGACTTGAGTATCTTTCCTCTAGGTCTAGACGTTCAGCCTAGAATAGGGATAATGAATGACGGGGTATTAAAATATGCAAATTAAAAATGTAATTAGTCCATCAGTTAGGTAATGAAAAAATATTAGACACGTATTTTTTTATTTTGTTGTATAAAACAACAATACTTAGATAAAATGAATCAAAGTTTAGGAGTGGGGGCTAAATACATCATATCTACGTATAACATGTACATAGAAGTGACGTCACGCGACATTTCAAATCAATATATCGTTGAAAGCATTAGTTTCTGTAAGAAAATAAAAAAATCGTGTCTAATGATTTAAAATAATCTATCAGACGGACATTAAAATACAAAATAGGTATACCCTATTGGTAAAATATTGTTTAGTTAGCATAACCATGGCATCAGGACTAATCCATCATATCATAACCAGATACAAGATATGGACTGCTTCATATAGATCCCCAATGACTTTCAGACTTTCATTTCAGACCGGCCAGTTGGCAGCCCCTCTAGTCTCAGGTTCGTCATCAAAAGAATAATTACTCCCCCAGCGGTCACCACAACCGCTCTCCACTTACTCCATTATAGATCTTATTTCCGATATTTAGAGACTACTTTTCTATAAACAAATATTGGGGATTTATATCATTTTTTTAAATTGGGACAAGCTCGCCACAAATTCCCAAAACCGCTGCAACTCCTGTAAGCAGTCTACAGTAGATACAACCATGAAAACACCAGAACACCGAAGTCCGGCGCTGGTGATGAATAACTATCTTGGTTCTCGCAACGAAGTGAATCAGAAGATATTATAAGAGGAGAAGTAAAAAACGATAGGTTCCCCTTCCCTCGGTGAATTACTACAGGAGACAATAATGAATTAAGCCTAAAGGCACAAAAGAGACTGTTCTGGGTGCAGCCCAATCGCCAAGCACCACGGAAATTTGACTAAAACCAAAGTGGGTTCTATGTGTGAGCTGTTATATTTGCTTCCAATAATAATAGATATGGCAAAAGCGCATATGCGCACGGAAATTTGTTCTAGATTCCACAACGTAGTGTTACGTTCATATTGTCAAAGATCACATTCCCAGAGCATGCGGACTGCTCGTATTGCAGCTCCGCTGTCGAACATTGGCACCATGGTGAATCAATAAGTTTAAATGAGAACAATTTGCTCCTAAAGTTGCCGTGGCCAGTAAGAAATTGGAATTTATATCAGGTGATTGTGTATCAGATGATTGAAAAATCGGTCTTAAGTGTGTCACCTCTTTCTTCTGCAAGTCCTCCTGCAGCCTGAGCTCGTTGAGTCTCCTCAGCTCCAGTTCCCTGGCAGCTTGCTCCAGTAGCCGCCGCTGGGCGTCCGCCTTGTCCAGCAAGTTCTCGCCGCCCACCAGCACCTTGGACTCTAGACGTTGCAGCTTGTCTTTAAGCTCTTCTTGTTGTTTTCTGAATGAAGAATTTTATGTATTTATAGGACATGAAAAGAATTTATTGAAATAAAAACTTAAATAAAATTAAAACTAACTATTACTAAATTAATAATAAAATATATACAACTTAAGATTAAAATTATATAAGAGAAAAACGATAACAACTATTTACATAAAGCATCGAAAAATTCGTCCGCATCGACGTCAGTGGAAAAAGTACCCAGAAGGCTGGCAGCATTGCGACGTATTTTATATATATTGCACGTATATTTTGCACATTGTATTTATAGTATTTTTTTATATGTGAATAATATGAATGAAATAAAGAGATAAGTATCGTACTCATACTGCGTTGATAAGACCTTTTGTCATGGCCATGTTGCCACCTTGTCGTTCTTTTTTTATTATTTTTTTATATCTTTTTTTTGTTATTGTACTTTGTGCTTACTATTTTATATTAAGGTACTAGCTGTACCCGCGACTTCGTTCGCGTAGAATAGTGACTATGAGCAGCGTTTTTTTTTAAATATATACTTATTTTTATTTTAGATTGGGATCATAATCACAGTCATTTTGGGTAGCTAAAAAACCTACTTTACTGTAATGCTTCTCTATATACAATATTAGACGTATGGCCATCGGGGGTGAAAGCATACAGGCTGCTGGGATTGCTAACACGGGACAGAGCCACATACAATTGACCGTGCGAAAAACAGCTGATACTTAGATCTATACCCACAACTTTTAGAGTCTGACCTTGAGCTTTATTAATTGTCATGGCGAAACATAGGCTCACTGGAAACTGAATTCGTTTAAAATTAAACGGAAAATTTTTTGGAATGAGAGGAATCTGAGGAATAAAACCACTATCACCTTTTCCGCACCCTGTTAAATATATATATATTTATAAGCCATTTCTGAGATTAGCGTGAACAGACAAACAGACAAACAGACAAAAAAAAAGTTAGTTACATTTTTGGGTTCGACATCGACATAACAATAGCCCCTGCTATTTTTTTTATTTTTATTTTCAATGTACAGACAGCACTTTTCTACAATTTTATTATATATATAGATAGATAGATAGTGTTCGACGTGATTCTTTAATTTGACGTAACTTTTTTATTTATGAACCGATTGACATGAAACAAACACTAAAGCATAACTGAAGCATACCACAATATATTCGTGAAAACCGCATCCAACTCGGATAAGCCGTTTCTGAGATTAGCGTGAACAGACAAACAGACAAACAGACAAAAAAAAGTTAGTTACATTTTTGGGTTCGACACCGACATAACAATAGCCCCTGCTATTTTTTTTATTTTTATTTTCAATGTACAGACAGCACTTTTCTACAATTTTATTATATGTATAGATTTGGTGCAACACGCCTTAACAGCAAAATAAATTATTTTTATTGCTTTCTTCTTTACAATCTATAAACCAAGAAATCAATCGCTGTTTGTCGTAGTTACGCTAAAACTCGAAAACTGCTGGACCGGTTTGTCTAATTTTGGTCTTGAATTGTGGAAGTCCAGAGAAGCTTTTAAGGGTGAGAAAAAAATATTGGTTGGGGATGAAATATGAAATATGTCAGGTAGTAATTTTTTTATAACATAAGCCGGTAAACGAGCAGACGGATCACCTGATGGTCATGGTAAGCAATTGGCGCGCGTCGCCCATGAACACCTGGAACACCAGAGGCGTTACAAGTGCGTTACCGGCCTTTTAGGGTTAGGAGTTTAAGGATCATTGGGGATTCAGGAATTGGGGAGATTGGGGAAGGGGAGGGTAATTGGGCCTCTAGTAACCTCAAACACACGACGAAACACAACGCGAGCGTTGCTTCACGTCGGTTTTCAGCTCTGCCGTGGTATCACTCCGGTCGAGTCGGCTCATTCGTGCCGAAGCATGGCTCTCCCACACTAGAGTTCCGATATAGTGACCACAGATTGAGATAATTTGCGGGTAAAGTGCAATTAGTTACCGCGGCCTGACACAAAGCGGGAGTAGGAAAGGGGTGGTGTTAAGTCAGTAAGAGTCTGACACTCCCTCTCCTCATCCACGACGGGAGAAGTCATTAGATGACCCCCTACAAAAAGGTGACAAAGAATGTAAAGTACTCACTTAGTCCTCTGCAATTCTGCTTTCTTCTCTTCTAGTACCTTGCGTGCGAGATAAGCCTTCTCTCGGTTCAACTTCTCCTGTAAACATATTTTGTTTATAATACACTTAAAAATTGGGGATTATGATAATAATAATAATAATAATAATAAATCTTTATTTCGGAATCATTACACTCCATATTTTACAAAAAAAAAAAACAACCAAAACGCCAACCTCTCTACACTATTACAAAATTCCAAAAAACAAAAAACACAAAATAAACTAAAAAAATACAAAAACAAATATTACGCTGCAATCTGTAACCATTTTTTGTACATTGTGGTAGTATACAGTCTTTCAGAAAAGTCTTTGATAATACTGTTTGTACACGAACCAACCCTTGACATGAATCCGGCGATTCGTTTTCTCTGGATGGCATTAAACGTATCCAGCCTAGCTTCTGCAAACATAGTTGACGCACTACAGTGCGGCTCCAGCCCCATTAGCTGCCTAAAGATGTTATTGTACTGGACACGAATACCATCCAGAGACCTCTTCGTGTAGCGCGTCCAGAGTTGGCACGTGTAAAAACTCTGACAATATGTCCTAAATAGATGTACCTTCGTCTGAGTGTCAGCTTTAAAAAATCTCCTGGCTATCATATTGCCCACTACTGACAGCGCTCTGCGTTGCCTATCTATGTCGGCATCGTCTTTGAAGTCTGACGTCAGTACATGGCCAAGGTACTTAAACCTCTCTACTACTTTGACTCGCTGACCTCCTATCCATACTGGTGGGACGTTTTGTGGACCTTTTCCTGCCCTAAATATTAACAGTTCTGTCTTCCTTGCATTATACACCAAGTTATGTTCTCTAGCGTATCTCTCACAAATTGTCATCAGTTTCCTTATACCTTTAATTGAGGGGCTGAGTAGGACCATATCGTCAGCATAGCTCAGGTTGTTGACATACCTCTATAAAGAGATAAACCCTCTATAAAGAGAAGGTTTATAGTTCTGCTCTGGACTTTCACAGGCTGTAGAAGTAATATAACATAACATCACGCCTTTTATCCCCGAAGGGGTAGGCAGGGGTGCACATAATGCCACTGTACAATGTAACACCCACTTTTTACTATTTATGTTATAAGTCCCATGTAATAGGGGATGAGCCTACTGCCATATATCGGGCACAATTCCAGACAACAAACAACCCAGGCATACTTTGCCAGACCCGGGAATCGAACCTGAGAACCCTTGCCCAGCAGTCGCACTTGCGACCACTCGGCCAACGAGTATACAAATAAATTATTATATTCTAGTATAGACTAGTAAGTATAATTATTATAGAATAATTATGCATACCTTTTCTTCCCTCCTGAGCTTGCGTCTGATTTTCTTCTCCGTAGGGTCGAGTACGTCGGCCTCCGGGTCGGTGAGTGTGTCGTCTGACAAGTCCTCCTCCGATAACTCTCCTTCTCCCTCTTCCTCCACTTCTTCTTCTTCTAAAGAGAAGAAATAAAGATCTAATATTGTAACTGATAATGGACGATTTCTCAGCGTTTTTATTATTGTTGGATGTAAAAATAAGTTATTCGAAGGCTTTCCTTAATAAAAAAATTATTTCGACTTTTCATTCCAAAAATTATTAAAAAAATAATCACACTTTCATTAATTGATGTTACCACCAACTTAGTTTTAGTTTGTTTCCAGCAAATTTTTAAGAAATAAGTATGCTGTTTAACCCTAAAAAAACGTGACGTAATATAATATAATATACAATCTCGTACAAAATTCATAGAAAACTATTGTTTTTGACATTTCTAAAAAAATATTGAATTTGACTAGTTGGCAAGTACCGAATTGTAGGTATTTTTGAGTTAACCTTTAACTACTGACGTGGGTGTCTCATAGACGGCGTGTTCACGAATATAAGAATTTTCCAAAAAAATCCAAATAATTGTATTGTAGCTAAGATTTTAACATATATTTTTTAAAGTTATGCGAAATATTTATATTTTAAGTTTATAGAATTTGAATCAGAAACCGCTGATTTCATCCGAGAACGTTGTATTTTTTGCACTTCCTTTATAGAATTATAATGGACCGATCAGAATACAAGTAAATATTGTTCAAATCAGTAAAAAAAAGTAATCCATTTCGATTAATTATTAAGGTGTTTGATAGACGTCACGTCACCGTTTATGGTATGAGTAAACCACGTCAGGACTTGAAGGTTAATTTATACGAAATATGACAAGTATCAATTATTATACGACGACGCGGCGATTGCTACTGCTGAATCAACACGGCAGTGTATCGCGGAATGCTGCTCATGAATATGATTCTCTAGCATGGTTTGAAACTAGTCGAGTTCCTCGTGGAACAGTTACGTGAGTAAGGCGAAAACATAAATATTAATTAATGATGCCTCACGATAATTGTAATATAACCATGAAAAGTATCTTTGCTATCCCACGCTATAGATAAATACATCCAATAAATAGGCATGGCGACTATTTTTTAATTTTTTGTCCGTCTTTTAGATATTTTAAAAATCTTCGATACGTATTTTTTCTTTTTTCTCGTATCCAAAAAAACATGTAGATATTTTGAGTTAAAATGACGCGTGACGTCACAATTAGGTACGATTTCTCCGTAAGTGTGACGTCAACACCCCCCACTCCCTAACTTTAATGCGGAATAACTACGTATTCTTCTGTTAATTCGATAAAACAAAAAATACGTGTCTGATATTTTCGTGCGCTCTTAATGACGGACTAATTACTTTTTTGATTTTTTTACCCTGTCGACACGCCTATTGTAATGTTGTGAGAAGTAATCATCAATAGCTTATAAATGCCCACTACTGAGCAAAGCCTCTTCTCACACGGAGAAGGTTTGAGCATTAATCATCACGCTTGCTCAATGAGGGTTGGCGATTACAAACTTATAATTAGAAATTATAAGCCCAGGTTTCCTCGCGATGTCTTCCTTCACCGTTTGTCAGTGGTGTCTAAATAATCTTGGAAAGTACCTACATATAACTCGGAAAAAGTTACATTGGTACTTGCCGTTGGTAGGTTTCGAACCCGCACCGTGTATGAGAAGCAGTCTTCAACCTCCGAGCCACCACGACACCACGTTGTGAGAAGTATCGCTTCTTAAAAAACGGAATTTGTTGGATGTGATTTGTACTCACCATTGGCACACTCATCCAGTTGCTTCTTGAGCTGATCTATCTCTTGTTGGAATCTGTAAAGATAAAAGTATATACGATTTAATTGAGTCGACCTGTAACGAACAATGTAACAAACTCTATGAATGTGAATTGGGTAGTTTCCAGGGTATCAAAATTAAAAATCTAATTAGTCCCTCAGTTAGATAATGAAAAAATATTAGACACGTATTTTTTTATTTTCTCCCATTAAGTTTAGGAGTGGGAGGTCGTTACGTCATAACGTGCGTCAAAATGTGGCACGCTGTGACGTCACACGATATTTCAAATTAATATATCGTCGAAAGTATTTAATTTTGTGAGAAAAGAAAAAATACGTGTCTAAAGTTTTAAATTAATGTACCAGACGGACATTAAAATAAAATTTTGGAAACTACCCTATTACACACACTTCTAATTGTTGTACCATCATGAAACTTGCCAATTGTATGTAGATTAGATGACAATACAATGTTATGGTACCATCAAGCTGGTTTAATGGAATTCGAAGATCCCTGATGAAACCTTTTTTAAGGGGGGAAAATCATCAAATGACTTCTCTCGCCTAAGCGAGGTGGGAGGGAGTGTCAAACTCTTACTGACTAAAAACCACCTCGTTCCTACTGCATTTCGAGCCGGAGCCCCGGCAACCTGTTAAGTCTTTCGCGGCTCCGTATCGACATCAGTCCTATTGGGATCCATTCATGATGGTCTGATGGCTCTTTGAGCTGTAGCTTTAGCTCAGCCGTACACTAGGGTCTAGTTCTCATCGGGCGGCGAGCTACCCATGCTCGCCGTCCGCAAGCCCGTGCTTACGGTTGCCGGAGATCATCCCACGATCCCCGACGACCGGAGTGTCCTTCGCGACGGCTGGGTTGTGAGGAGGCAGCGCTTCGCTGCTCACATGTCCCACCTACGACATCCCAGTCCTCCCTCATGAAACCTTGGACTTCATACTAGTAACTATAGTCAGAATGTTAATTAGATTCCAGATTTGACATTAGCTACTGTCATTTTGTGAAATAATGATACCACATATAATATTGTAGTGATGAACACAAAAATCGATAAACAATCAGTGTGTGTGTTTTATAATAAATGTTACAGAAAGTGACAGGATAGCGATAGCGATGACGGCGACAATTTATGAAATAACTTATTACCATAATACATCTATCTGTTTTATTTATCATGTTCCTTCATGATTACATTTTTTTATTTATTTCACACATAATTATAAAAGAAAAGTCTCAGATCGTTAATGAATCGTCAAAACTAAATTATCGGTTCAGAAATATTTAATTTCCTGATATACTTAGTTTACGAGAGTAAAATTATAAACGGAAAGAATCGATCCAGAAATATTGCATTTCCATATCGAATAATTTCGCAACGTCACTATTTAGTACTTGTCATAACGTTGCAACACTGAAATTGACAAATCTGGAATCGAATTAAAATTTCGAGTATAGTCAATACATCGAGGTTAGGCGCATTAGTTAGGTACATTTATCCTGATAACGACAGCGTATACAAGCAGGCAGTCCCCTAGTGTATTGACTTAGTAAGTCCTACCTAGTAAGCAGTGCGTCTCCCGGCTCGCTGTTGACATGCGTCTTGTTTTCAATATTCTTCGCCCGGTTGGCGTAGCGCAGCGTGCTTATAGTTTCCACGTAATTCGTGTCCGCTGGTCCTATAGTCGCTATCTGGAATAAAATGTCAAAGCTAATTATAATCGGGTATTTGCCAACTAGTCAAATTCAATACTTTTTTTCGAACTGTCAAAAACGACAGTTTTCTATGAATTTTGTACGAGATTGTGTATTGTGACGTCATGATTTTTTAAGCGGCAAACAACTTACTCCAAGTTGTAGATTCCTATAGAGAAGAACGAGCAATTAACTCCATAGGTTACTCTTTTCCAATCAGGTTTAAAATACATTTCTCTAGTTACGTAGTTTAGTTGGTTCGATTGTGTGAGAACAATGCAACACCTAAATGCAGTCAAAGAGATTGAAAAAGAAAATAACCTTGTGGATAATAAAATCATACAGTCCCAATTGACGGCGCCCGTTCACGAACATGACACGTACACCAGCACCGCCCAACTCAACCATATTGTAGGGAATCAAGCGATCCACTGCACGCGCTACCGCCAATGAGACCTTTGAGTGAGCATGTCAACCCCAAGCTGACACAAATGCATTATTAGGAAAATATTTTTCATTTTTCTGAAATTACGGAAATCTGTAAGTGCGAACTACACGCCGTCTTGTAACTAGCTATAAAACACGGCTTAACACACACAAACTCAAACACGTAATTGATATTATTCTTAATTCCATAAAACTCCAATAAGAAACATTGCTGTCGCTTATTCCGAAATACTGTCGAACTTAAACGATTTATTATAGCCGTACCTACTTTTAACTATTGGCCCGAAATTTTCTCTTACATTAATACATTAAACCTTTATGACTTCTGTGACATGCTCCCGAGAAATGACACGGTTTCAAAACTACACCTTGTATATCAAGGGGGGGGGGGGGTTGAAGTTCGTTTTTTAACGTACACTCGTACACTCACCATGACAGTCTTAGAATTGCCTCCAAGCGAGTCTTGCAACAGCCTCGTCAATTTGGAGTTCCTATACGGTATGTGTGTGGACTTCCCGTCGACCAGCGCTGAGATCACGTTGCCCAGCACTGAGAGAGACTGGTTGATCTTAGTGGCTTCTTTCAGTCGAGTCCCTGTGGCTTGCGTCTTGCTCTGCCGTTCTGAACCCTGTGGAATGGATGTAAAGTTGAAAATTATTGTATTTTTCAGTTTTACATGGACACTACAATTTGGTCCTGTGTCGTGTTGGTACAGGCAGGTCGGTACCGATTAGTACAGGATTATATGGCGACCATTGTGTACTTGCAAACTAGTCAAATTCAATACTTTTTCGAACTATCAAAAACGAGGGTTTTAAATATTCCCTCCGTTTGGATATCAAACGCTTTCGTTTATTAGATATATTCTACCGATCAAGCTCTTTGGCTCGACACTGACAAACGGTGAAGGAAAACATCGTGAGGAAACCAATATCATAATATAAATAATATAAAAGAAAAATAATATCTAATTATAAGTTTGAAATTACCAACCCGCATTGAGCAAGCGTGGTGATTAATGCTCAAACCTTCTCCGTGTGAGAAGAGGCTTTGCTCAGCAGTGGGCATTTATAAGCTATTGATGATTACTTCTCACAACATTGCAATTTACTTGCCAACTAGTCAATTCATGACTTTTTTCGAACTATCAAAAACGACGGTTTCAAATATTACCTCCGTTTGGATATCAAACGCTTTCGTTTATTAGCTACTAGCGACCCGCCCCGGCTTCGCACGGGTGCAATATGTATATACATACAAACCTTCCTTAAGAATCACTCTATCTATTAAAAAAAACCGCATCAAAATCCGTTGCGTAGTTTTAAATATCTAAGCATACATACGGACATACAGCGAAAGCGACTTTGTTTTATACTATGTATATTTGGCTCGATCGGTAGAATATAGATAATAAGAACCGTATAACATTTAAAAAGAATCTGTATGCTTGTTTAACTAGGCTGCGCGACGTCGCCGCGACCGCGCACGCTGCTCATGAGAAATAACCTCTCTGTGGTTCGAAACTAGCAGAGCTTTTCTCAGTATTTTCTCGTGAGTAACCCGCGATTTTTAATTAATTTATTATGTCTCACGATAGTTATTATAAAAACATGAACACATGACTAAGGTTGACTGGTAGAGAATGCCATACGGCATTAAGTTCGCCTTGTATGCCATAATCAAATTGTGTACATTAACACAACATAACATAACATCACGCCTTTTTATCCCCGAAGGGGTAGGCAGACGTGCACATTAAGGCACTATTTACGTTATGAGTCCCATGTAATAGGGGGTGAGCCTATTGCCATATATTGTCACGTTCAGACTCCGTGGTACTACTGAGATTTTAAAAAACCCATTAATACTTTGCCCGACGGTATCGAACCCGAGACCCATTGCCCGATAGTCGCACTTGCGACCACTCGGCAAAAGAGGCAGTCATTATCGTCATTAGAGGCGTGTGTACAGTCGAAGGTCAAAAGTCCACTGCCACCGTGATTGATGTTCACAGGGCAATGCGTTAGTCATTTAATATTAATGTGCATAAAAACGCACGCGTACGCATAAACACACGCACGCGTACGCACACGGATAAAAATATGCGTATGCATATGGGTATAAGCGCTGCAGCGCAACCGACAGTAGTCTTACTTCTTATCTTGGCAGTGGACTTTTGACCTATGACCGTACATTAAGTACTAAATAAATAAATACATTTTTGCCAACTTACAGCCAAATCAACAAGATGTAGTTTCCCCATCTTGACATGCATCTTATTGTCAGAGCCTCGCTTGCTGCTCTCGACGGTGATTGAGAAGATGGCGTGCGACCGCGAGCTCTCCGTGTTCATTGCCGTGGCGCCGATGTGACGGTTCTTATTGCCGACTGCCATTATTTTTTCTAACTCATCCGCGTTGTGGACTACGTAGCCTGGGGAATTTGAATTTATTAAATCGTCGAAATTCATTCCCTAAATTCATACAAAAGTGGTCTCTAAACATTGGAAATAAGGTCTATAATGTGACCGCTTGGGCCTTGGGGATGTATGGGTTAAACAGGGAAGCTTCTAAAAGCGCCTTCGTCCGCGTGTTAGTGAAAAATTATCAGTGTTAGCTTACAGTTTCCCTATAGTAGTGAGTGCGCCATCAGGGTGCTTACTCTTGAAACAGGCCTTTTTATCCCCGAAGGGATAGGCAGAGGTGCACATTCCGGTGCTTAATGCCACTGTACAATGTAACACTCTCTATTCACTATTAATGTTATGAGTCCCATGTAATAGGGGGTGAGCCTATTGCCATATTATACCGGGCACATTTTCAGGCTCCGTGCTACTACTGAGATTTTTAGAAACCCAGTAATACTTTGCCCGACCCGGGAATCGAACCCGAGACCCCTTGCCCGGCAGTCGCACTTGCGACCACACGGCCAACGAAGCAGTCCGATAATCGGAAACCCTTTATATTGTTTTAGACATTTGTTTTATGGTATAAGCCGATAAACGAGCAGACGGATCATCTGATGGTAAGCAATTGGTTTGGTGTCGCCCATGGGACGCCCACCTTTTTAGGGATTATGAATTTGAGGATTATTGGGGATTTAGGGATGGGGAGGGAGGGTGGGTAATTGGGCCTCCAGTTATCTCACTCACATGACGAAATACAACGCAAGCGTAGTTTTGCATCGGTTTTCTGCTCGGCCGTGGTATAACTCCGGTCGAGCCGGCCCATTCGTGCCGAAGCATGGCTCTCCCACTCATAAAACATAACATTAAACACTTGTACATATACAAGACCAAAGAGGATACCTGTCAGGTCTTTCACGAAGACCCCGATGTCAGGTCGCTCCTTGACTTCCAGGCTCTGGTGAGGATTGTTGCCGAGGAGGTCGCGGACCTCCTCGTTGTAAATCTCCAAGTACGTCACGCATACTAAGAATCTGAATTGAAGACATGTATTTATTTAACATAACATATCACGCCTTTTATACTCGAAGGGGTAGGCAGAGGTGCACACAGAAGTAACACCCACTTTTCACTATTTATGTTATGAGTCCCATCTAATAGGAGGTGAGCCAATTGCCATATACCGGGCACAATTCCAGACTCCGTGCTACTACTGACATTATTTTTAAAAACCCAATAATGCTTTGCCCGACCCGGGAATCGAACCCGAGACCTTGCATGACAGTTGCACTTGCGACCACTCGGCCAACGAGGCAGTGTATTTATTTAAAAAGCAGAATTAAACTGTCAAAGACCAAGCGGTCACCGGGGACCGCAACCTATTGTTCTATAATTGTGTCTATAATGACGGTACTCGACGAGTTAATGTGGTAATGAGAGTCCTGAGAAGGACCTATGTGTAGAGTAAAATTGATCGAGTGAAAAATAGTGTTATTAGAGAAAGGTGTGGATTGAAAGATGATGTAGTGACAAGGATTGAAAAGGGAATATTAGGGTTTGGACATGTAGAAAGGATGGATGAAAGTAGAGTAACGAAAGAAGTATACAGAGCGGATATGAATGGGGCCGTCCGTAGAAGGCGCCCTAGACGGACATGTACTGACCAGATTGGCGATATATTAAAGAAGGGCCAAATTAAAAGTACCCTTAACCGACGAGCTTGTATGAAAAGATTGATGACTGTTGATGAAGCGAAAGAAGTATGTAGGAATCGTAGTAATTGGCGTTCCATAGTCTCATGTCTACCCCCATGGGAGACAGGCGTGAAGTTATGTATGTATGTATGTATGTTGTTCGGAATCTCAAAACCTATTTTAAACAATTTTCCTGTGAATTTTGTAATTGGGATGATGTCATCATCTATGGGTATGAAAAATAAAAATCTAATTAGTCCGTAAGTCAGGTAATTAAAAAATATTAGACACGTATTTTTTTATTTTGTTGCATAATAAAATAATACTTAGATAAAACGAATCAAAGTTTAGGAGTGGGGGCTAAAACGTCATTTCTTCGTATAAAATGTACATAGAAGTGACGACACGCGACATTTCAAATCAATATATCGTCGAAAGTATTCGTTTCTGTAAGAAAATACAAAATACGTTACTAATGATTTAAAATGATCTACCAGACGGACATTAAAATAAAAATTAGGCATCTTCCCTATTACATAGTTGTAGCTTTTTTAAATTAAATTAACCATCTATAATCATAATTTATCTTAGAAAATCTTCCCAGAACGTTCCACCCGAATTTGGAAAACATGCAAATAAAATAATACAATATTTCGTTTCGTTCGGACCGTGCATCTTGGAACTAGGTCAGCGTCGGGTCGGCGGCGGCAAGATGGCGGCATACGATTGTCAATCGATCCCTTATATATGGGGAGGGGGTTGGTGGTGACTTACAGGGAACTTACAACCTTATTGTCAAGAGATAGGGTTGGAAATTTATTAAGCAAGTATTGGTGTATGCTGGTGAGCTGTTGTACATCACAGAGTATTATCGACTTTATACGTGAATAGATAAGGTTGAAAATGTTGTGTTTGGATGGGATACGTTGATGTGACGATACTAATGTACCAGTTTTCTTTGTTTCAGTGGATTTATGTCGATGTTGAATTCAGTTATATATTTTACTAGCTTCTGCCCGCGACTTCGTCCGCGCAATCCCGTTTTATCCCGTTCTCGTAGTATTTTCAGGTATATCTGTCTTAAGAACCTTCTCCTACATACATGCATATATGCATAACTTTACGCCTGTCTCCCATGGGGGTAGGCAGAGACTAGGGAACGTCACTAACTACAATCTTCTCCTAATAATAAAATAAAATGCAACAACAAGAGAATTAGTGAAATCGGTCCAGCCGATCACGCGTGATGCCGTGACCAAGGGAAAATGGGATCCATTTTTATATAACTACTAGCTGACCCAGTACACCTAAAATTCTTTAAACTCTTTTAAACCTTCCCTGGACTTCCACAAATAATTCAAGAACAAAATTAGCCAAATCGGTTGAGTCGTTTTTGTGTTTTTGCAAGACTACCGAACAGCGATTTATTTTTATATATAAGAAGATATACCTAGGTAGAATGTCTTTTCAATCAAGTGGTTTTAAGGTCGTTTTCCTGTTCGGACACTGTTTTCAGTAGGTAAAAGAATGGACTCTGGAATTACCTTTTTTGAGGGGTGAAAATCATCCAATGACTTTTCCCGCCCGAGTCACCAAATTGAGACCAAGGCGGCTAAAAAGACCCTAAAGGGACTGTTAAACATTCTAATTATTTCAAATACCTACGAAAGCATGCTTCAATTGAGCAATTGTCATTTAGTATCTATCATGTGTGTCGGAATGTTGCTTAAAATTTGCTCATTTTAACATGTCCGCGAGACGGCAGGCGATCGATTTTTAAACATTTTTGAACATGCTCTATAGAACACCACTCAAAATTCGCTCATTCCAGGCATGTCTGCGAGATGACAATACGTCATGCGTTCGATTTTTAAGAATTTTTGAACATCAGCCCGGCAGATGGCGCTGCAGTCGATGTTTAGGTTATTCATCCTAAACAGCTGAACTAATTTGAATGAATTGGGTCCGCTAGTTCTATAGAGAACTATAGAACGCCAATTAGCATACTTTTTTAAAACATGTGTAACAGAACTTAAAGAGTATGACCTCTCTCTCTCTCTATCTCTCTCGCCTCTAATTGGGTACTTGCCTATTAAATTGTTTCGACTGTTAAATACAATAAAATATTTAAAAAAATCACACTTTCATTTAACTTTATTAATTGTAATGGCTAATTATTGCATGTATAATTTTTAGAATATAGGTGTATTGTACAAATTCAAACACAATGTACCTCTAATAATTGTTCATGAATAAATAAATGAAATGAAATGAATGAAGATTTTATGACCAACTTAATTTTAGTAATTTTCCAGCAAATATTTAAGAAATAAATACTATGATGTTTGACGCTAAAAAAACGTGACGTCACAATACACAACCCCGTACAAAATTCATAGAAAACTGACGTTTTTGACAGTTCGAAAAAAGTATTGAATTTGACTAGTTGGTAAGTACCGAATTCGACGATTTTCACCCCTTAAAAAAAACTGATACTACTCACTTCTCATCCTCATTAGCCTTAGCAATATGGCTGAAGATGTGCGCGAATGAGTTGGGAATGATCCCTCGTAACTCTGGCGCGGTGTTGCTCCCAGCCATGGTATAAGTCTTGCCTGTACCGGTCTGCCCGTACGCAAAGATCGTCCCATTATAGCCTTTCAGCACCTGCTCCACTATAGGACTCGCCGTTTGGACGTATATGTCCATCTGTATAAGAAAGAAAATCATTATAAAGGCATCGTTCATCATTTACACGTGGGGGTCATATTTTGGCACGAATGGGTCGGCTAACTGGAATCGCTCTTAAAAGACTTGTAACAACGCGTATTTTAACATAACATAACATCACGCCTTTTATCCCGAAGGGATAGGCAGAGGTGCACATTATGCCACTGTATAATATTGAATGTAACACCCACTTTTCACTATTTATGTTATGAGTCCCATTTAATAGGGGTGAGAGCCTATTGCCATATACCGGGCACAATTCCAGAATTCGTGCTACTACTGAGAATTTTTTAAAAACTACTTTGCCCGACCCGGGAATCGAACCCGAGACCCCTAGCCCGGCAGTCGCTCTTCACACACGCGACCACTCGGACAACGAGGCAGTCTGCTGCTACTGTGCTTTTTTTTTGAAGGGGGTAAATCATCCAATTACTTATTCCGCCCGGGTGAGGCGAGAGGGAATGTCAGACTCTTACTGACTAAAAACCACCAAGTTCCTACTCCTGCACTTCGAGCCGGAGCCCCGGTAACCCGTTAGGTCCTCCGCAGCTCCGTATCGGCATCAGCCCTATTTGGCCCCTATTTAGCAACGCGACGCGCCGCACGCTCGGGCTTGTAGCAACGCTGTGTGTGGTGTTTCGCCGTGTGATTGAGGGGAGGTCCAATTCTAAGAGGATCAAGCCCTTGTTAGTCCTATTGTGTTGGGGGTATCCATGAACTACCGTTTATTTACTATCAGGTGATCCGTCAGATCATTGCTGCTGTTTTTGCTACTTCAAATAATATGGCTCCGGCTCGAGGTGCGGGAGAAGGAACGGGGTGGTTTATAGTCAGTAAGAGTCTGACACTCCTAATTAATTCGATGATATTCCCCTCTTAAAAAAAACTAACTATGGTTATCTATGATGTACCTATATGATATGATATGACTATGCGACATGTCAACTTCCTGTTACGACACAATGTCCACTATGTGACGATGTTTGGCAATAGGGCCATGCCCTATATAGGCGCGATATTAATTCGGGTAGTCCTTAATTGAAAAAGATTTGACTGCTAGTTAGTATGCATTGAATAGGCTCCGAAACTACTTTTTATTCTGATATTCCTTAAGGATAGGGACCCAAAGCAGAGCCTAATTATACCTAAATCAAACTAGACAATTGCCTAGAGGGCCAGTTTACAGAGATGCTCCATGACACTACAAGACGAGCGCGCCGATTGAGTGAAAGCGGCACCAAAAAATTAGGATCGCCTATGAGGTACTTCGCCGTCGTGTTGGCCCGGAGGTTTAAGACGTCCGCTTCTCATTCACGGGTTCAGATTTTCAGAACCTTCCAACGGCAAAGTACCAATATGACATGTACTTTCTAAAATTATTTAGACACCACAGAAAAACTAGACTAGAATGATATGTACGCACTACATCACTGGCCGAGTGGTCGCAAGTTCGACTGCCGACGACGGCAAGGGGTGCCAGGTTCGACTTCCGGATCGGGCAAAGTATTATCGGGTTTGTGAAAACCTTAGTAGTAGCACGGAGTCTGGAAATGTATATGGCAATAGGCTCACCCTCTATTACATGGGACTCATAACATAAATAGTGAAAAGTGGGTGTTACATTGTACAGTGACATTAAATGCCGTATTGTCTCTGCCTACCCCTTCGGAGATAAAAGGCGTGATGTTATGTTATGATGTGTACGCAGTGTCGCTGCAGGGCGTTGGTTCCCTATAGTAGGTAGTGACCTGGTGACCTCGATACCAACGCGTCGCGTGGCCGTCCGAATAGATACGATGTACAATTAAAAATATATTTAATGTAATAGCCACGGTGACCATGGAGTACAATACATGTATTACTTAATCTTCTTGTGGCCCTTCTGGGTATCGTAAGCACCCACAACAGTCGAAATCAACAAAACTGATTTTTCGGGATGAATTTTTATATTCTATGGTTTCTGTTAAAAATCAGGACCGATTTAACGGCCGAAATTAATAAATATCGATCGGTCTTTACATTTTAAAATGTCTAATATCGACCTTAAAATAGACTACTTTTTCGTAGCCACTGTCCACCGATATCTTACCCTAAAGAGGTCGATACTACTATCCATAATAAGGAAGAAATTGCTGATAGATACAAGGTCGCTAATTGTACGTACATTATTTTTTTTATATAGTTTTAAACTGAACATTTATGTACATATTATTGTGTCTGATGAGCATTTTGTACTGCACCATACCTCGTGTCATAGGAAAGCCATTTAAAACATTTTGTACAGAGGAAGCATTCCAATTACAAACTATTTACGTTTTTAAATGTCTATAATCATTTGTAACAAAATGGCCTTGATGTATCACCATTGGCGAGTGACGAAACTATGACAGAATGCAACGTTGCCGCTCCTACTATTACGTTGTTGTAGAGTAGCGGAACGGCAACGTCCAACGAAACGTTCATATTATCGCATGTTTTCTTGTATTTTTCAGTTTTGTGATTTGAATTTGAAATTGGTGCATATAAATGCTTGATATGGGTTTTTTCCGATTTTAAAATTTTGTAAGACTATTTTTCAAGGTCCAAGTACATTCATTATTAATCCTTCGGACATAGTGTGACGAATTAAAAAAGTGCCGAACTAAAGGCATCCTCTACCGACGAGCATGCATACCTAAAGAGATTTATGAATAAGATGAAAAGAGGTATACGTAAGTATGGGAGAGCCATGCTTCGGCACGAATGGGCCAGCTCAATCGGAGTGATACCACGGCCGAGCAGAAAACTGACGTGAAAACGCTTGCGTTGTGTTTCGTCATGTGAGTGAGCTTACAGGAGGCCCATTTACCCCCCCCCCCATACCCCAATCTCTCCAACCATCCTCAACCTCCTATTCCCCAAAAGGCCAGTAACAAACTTGTAACGTCTCTGGTGTTCCGGGTGTCCATGGGCGACGCCGATTGCTTCCCATCAGGTGATAAGTCTGCTCGTTTACCGGCTTATAATGCATAATAGTATAACTGTCCTTTATTCCAAGGGATCAATAAAACTTTGCTCGAACCCGAAGCCTACGAACGTACGCTTACGACCGTAGGACCACTTAACAAGGCTGTCCTTTTATAAATCTCTAGGATGTACCTAAATACGCAGCCGCGGAAGGCCTAATGGATTGCCGAGGCTCCGGCTCGAAGAGCAGGAGTATGAACGGGGTAGTTTTTAGTCAGTGAGAGTCCGACACTATCTCGCCTAACCCAAGACGGGTGAAGACAGTCGAAGATTTTCTCCCTTAACAAAAGGCTGTACCCAAATGCATCATTTTATGCAAATTTTCTTTTAATTCTTGAATTTTGTCGCTGTTATCTCCTACCATCTCGCCAGGAGAAGGAACGGGATGGTTTTTAGTCAGTAAGAGTCTGACACTTCCTTCCGCCTCACCCAGGCGGGAGAAGTCATTCGATGATTTTCCCCCTTAAAAAAAAAACCCATAAGCAACTCATTCGCTCGAACCTTTGGAGACACCTTGGTTATTATCGGATTTGATATTTAATATAACTTTGTCGACTGCCTCGTTGGTCAAATGGTCGCAAGTGTGACTGCCTGGTAATCTGATCTCGGGTTCGATTCCCGGGTCGGGCAAAGTAATACTGGGTTTAAAAAAATCTCAGTAGTAGCACGGAATCTGGAATTGTGCCCGGTATACGGCAATAGGCTCACACCCTATTACATGGGGCTCGTGATATAAATAGTGAAAAGTGGGTGTTATATTGTACATTGGCTTTAAGTGAAGGTGTGATTTTATGTAATGTATTATCTATATATATAAAAGAAAGTCGTGTTAGTTACACCACTTATAACTCAACAACGGCAGATAAGATTTGGCTGAAAATTGGTAGGGAGGTAGCTTAGAGCCCGGAGACCGACATAGGATACTTTTTGACCAAAATTTTTTTTTTACTTTTTATCGAAAATCACGAACGGGGACAGGAAAAATAGGATTACGCGTACGAAGTCGCGGGCAGAAGCTAGTTTTATATTAAAACTTTCAAATCAGGTATCTATCTATTTCTAAGCTATTGTATTCTAATATTATAAATGCAAAAGTTTGCGAATTTGAATGTAGATGTTACTCAATTATATCAAAACGGTTGAAGGCATCAGGATAAAATTTGAAACAATGATATATCATGGTCTGGAATAACACATTGGCTACTTTTTACCATACAAGAACGCGGGCGAAGCCGCTGGTAGTAAACGAAAGATATATTTTATGAACAAAGGAACCACAATATTTCTTCTTTCCTACAGCTACGGGTGACCTAAATAGGTAACTGGGGCGACCTGAGTGAGGGGGGAGGGGTACTGGTGCATCGGAGTCTTTGTCTGACTGAACCTCAGGGACGAGATTATTGTTAGATGAGACGAATTTCCTAATGGTTATTTTTGTTAACAGCTGTTGAAACCAGTCATCTTAAGGTTACATACATAACATGATGCCTTTTATCCACGAAGGAGTAGACAGAGTTGTACATTACGACACTTAATGCCACTGAACAATGTAACACCCACTTTTCACTATATTTTATGTTATGAGTCCCATGTAATAGGGGGTGAGCCTATTACCATATACCAGGCACAATTCCAGACCCTATGCTACTACTGAGAATTTATAAAAATCAGTAGTACTTTGCCCGACCCGGGAATCGAACCCGAGACAGTCGTTCATGCAACCACTTCACTTTGTGCAGTATCTAATAATAGCATTAGTATTACCTGATCGGATAGGGATCGAGAGGTGAATAGAGACAATAGATATTGGTAAATTCTTCATAGTATCTATTCACCCCATTTTACCGTACCTCTAGCTATATTTTCTTCATCCTCCCTAAAAATATACCAAATAACTTTGTAATGAATTCATATACCGCGTCGCAAACTATGTTACTACGTCAGATGGCTTCCTAGGGGTGTGCCAGGAGAGG